ACCACGATACTTACTAACAAAACCGGTGTCAGCAGCTTCATTTTCCAAATAAAAAGAGACGGCGACCCTTTTGCTGCCACCTTGGGTTCAGCTAACACTTTTCTTTTTTCCTTTTTTTTTTTTTGGAAAACAGGAGTATTCTGCAGAGAATAATGAAGAACCATATGTCAAAAAATCAGCAAATCGGTCAAAACGTCCATGGAAAATTTAATTAACGAGCTCATGAGTAGTTTTTCACGAATCAAATGAAATCTTACTGTGTTAATTCTCTCTCACGCCATTTTGCAACCAGAGTTCTTTGACATCGCCACGGTTGTAGAAGGCCAACTCGCCATTGCGGAACAACAACAAAAAACCAAAACCCAAAGAAAGAACCAATTCACAACAAGATGAATTAAAGACATTTTAAATAATCAAGCCATGTATAAACGTGTACAGTTTCACGAATATTGAGAAGTTATGTTAAAAGAAAAAAAGAAAAGCCCCTCAAGACTCTTCCTACCAAGAAAATTAGTCCTCAGATAATTATTTGAAGATATGGTTCCGTGTAGCAACATCTGCATTTTTTTACCACAATGACAACTAAGAATTATAAATCTCGCGAGAAAAAATGAAAAGTACATTCTAGGTGACAAAAGACAGAAATTAAAGAGAATTTATCATAGATCGGAATAAAGATTTTGAATTGACCTGTCAGGCAATACTTAAAGAAAGCACTGTCATTCTGCATAAACCTTGCAACAGCACTGCCATGCCTTCAACAGGCCTATGAGAAATTGATGCACCAAACTTGTGTACCTGTGAGACAATTACAAAGTAGTAGCTTTATGGAGGAGCTTAGATTTGTAGACTTGGTTCGTTTTAGAGTTTTTTTGCAGTAAAAACAAATGAAGACATCAATCTATCACACAATAATGATGTAGCTTTCAAAAAAGGAAATTTTATAACTATGTTTTTTAGCAATTAAAATGCATAACTATTGTGAAAGAAAAATATGCCCTTTTCTAAAACTTAGTAATGAAAACAAGAAAAGGGGAGAAAGGAAAGGAAAGAAAAGAAAATAGGGACCTTTTGTTTCTTTTTAAACCATTAATATCTGTGGTGGTGTGAATTTACAATGTACAATTGAAAGACCAATTAAGCAAATATTTCTTTTTAAACCATTAATATCCGTGGTGGTGTGAATTTACAATGTACAATTGAAAGACCAATTAAGCAAATAATAAGAAGGTTTGGAAGCCCTACCTACAAAAACATAAGAGACACTAAACCATTCCAGCTCTGTAGAGTCAAATTGAGAATTATATTATTAAAAGTAAAAGAAAAGCAGAGAGGTTTCTCCAACTAATTTTTCCATCATCTCTCTCTTTTCCCAAACACATCCATCTCAATTTTCTTCCCTTTCTTCTCAAACCACCTCAATCACATCTACATGCATAGTAGAAATTGCACGTACAGCCAAATTACACATAGCAAACACAAGAAGACAATTAAAACTAATGGGAAATGAAAAAAATGCATTACCAAGTTGTTTATTGGAGTGAGCAAAATAGGGGCTTCCCTCAAAACGTCACCCCTGCTCTTCTTCCTATCTTGTTTAGAACAAATGGACATTTTTTAAAGCATTTTAACAAATACCGAAAAAGACTGAAAAAAAAATAAGAAAAGGAAGAGAATAATCTACAAGGAAAATATAACTTAAAGAGAGAGTCCTATTCAACAAGGGAAGAAGGAGAAGAAGAAGGACGAAGGCGCTGAAGCAAGCTCTCTAATTCTCACAATAAATGCAAACCCATATCTCTCCTCTCTCTTTTTTTTTCTTAAATTTTTTAAACATGCAATATATATGTGATAGCATTAGCGATAGGTTTGGGCCCTCTTTTCTTGTATAAACGACCGACCAAGTCAAAAATAACATCGCGTGCGTTTGTAATTATTTTTAAAAATGTTTTTAGACGAAAATAAAAATAATTTATAAATCACATTTGTTTGATAAAAATTTCAAAAATAAAAATGAAAACAAAAATTTGTATGAAAATAATATTTGAAAAAAAATAAAAAATGATTCAAAGTTATTTTTTCTTTTTCCTTTTCATTTTTAGTACATATCAACAAAATTATATTAAATGATTAATAATTAATTACTAATTATATTATAGATTAATTAATAATTAATAAATAGATATACTTAATAATTAATAAATAGATAATAATTACGTATTTATTATTTAAATATTAATTTATTACTATTAAGTTTTTAATTTTATTAATAAAATAATAAATAATATAGTAATTAATTATTTAGTTAAAGATTAATTACCAAAAATTAATTATATAACATATTAACAATAAAACAAGTAATAATAGGTTTTTTAAAAATTAATTAATAATTAATATATCAATTAAAAATTATGTTAATTGTAATCTATTAATTAGTAAATAACTGATAAATAAAAAATTAATAATAATTACTTAATTAATAATAAATTTTAAATTATAATTATGTAATATATTAATCAATAATAATCAATAATTGATAATTAATCATTAATCATTATAAAAAGAATAATTATAAAAAATTAATCATGTGATATATCATATAATATATTATTAAACAAACATTAGTAATTAATTAACTAATTATTTAATTATGTAACTAAACCTTAAGTAGTAAATGGAATATTAATAAATTATATATATACTAATTATTTTTTTAATACACTAATTTATTATTTATAATCTAATAAATATGAGTATATTATTAAAATAATAATTATTTATAATTAATTACTATTTTTTAATTATTTAATATATTAATTTATTTTTATTATATTTAAACTAATCTCTAGACTACTAAATATAATTTCGGGTTTCAAAATAATTTTCAAAATAATTTAATTTTTATTTTTATATCAACATAAAATCATTTTGAAAAGGCCCGTCAATTCATCACAATTCCGTCTGAGAACTCAGAATACAGATTCAGAGAGATTCCGACTGTTTGTTTGGGAAAATCCATGGCGGAAGCACCACCACCACCTCAAAAACAGGCATCCCCGTCACCATCATCAGTAGCGGAGCTCATAGTCTCCTTCGAGCAAGCGATCATGGCAGCCAAACAGCTCCCTTCCACGGCCGTCCCTTCCCACCTCCTCCAAATCCACTCCTCCTTCCAACACGTCCACAACCACCTCTCCGCCTTCCTCTCTCGTCCCCAATTCCCCCTTCCCCTCCTCCCTCCCCAAGAGAATGCCCTCTCCTCCGCCGCCGCCACTGCCGACCCGATGCAGCTCGGCGACGACGACGAAAACGACAACGGCGACGTCGAGCAGGTCAATTCGAGAGGGATCGTGGATGGAGTGGAGGAGAAAATGAGGAATTGCTTTATTAAGAACAAGCGGCGGAAGCGGCGGCTCTCTGCGTCAGCGCTGGAGGAGAGAACGAGGTTCATCGACGACGGGTTCGGAGCTGTCGGTGAGGGTTTTGATCCTTATGCCACCAGGTTAAGAGCTTTGGAGCTTGTTTATCAGTTTCATGGCTGAGAAACTAACAATTTAGCTCAAAGCTTTGCAATTCTTCAGTTCGTGTTCAAATTAATAGGATAGAAGGGTCGGAGGACAGAGATTGTGATTGATTACAGCACAACAATGTAGAACATGCATGACATGATCAGAAACTTCAGTTTTTCATATTCTGAAACCAACCTCACTTTCTGGGGAAAATTTTGTTCATGTTATGTGAATGAAATTTAGGAATATTTTGTGTTTACTGCAAGAAATTAAGGGCGGTTTACTGATACGAGTTTTTAATTCGAATTAAGATGTTATTTTATGTGAAATTTTTTTATTATAATAAAAAATTTAAATGTGATTATTTTTAAAAACTTTTCACTATAATAAAACTTAAATTTTAAACTCAAATTAAGGAAATGAACAGGACTTGAGAATATAACAATATAACAACAATTCAACACTACACAAAAATTGTAGACTTAAAGACTGTTCGACAGTTCTATTTTTGAGTTAAAAACTAAAAAAAAATAATAATTTGAGTTCAACTTTATTCGAGTTCATATTCTTTTTAAGTTTGAACTCAAATTTGGGACAAAAACTCGAGTTCAAGTTTCCCTTTCAACTCGAGTTCAGAAACTCAAACTCAAATTAATGAATAATATTTTTTCTATTCTTAAAAATACTATAACTTTTTCATTTTAATTCTGATTGAGATGATTTTTTTTCTATGCGTTGATAACAGAAAGATGAATAAAACTCCACACATATACCCTATTAAAATTTTTCATCAACATTGAGTTTTTATTAAAATACTATTTAAATACAAATTCAAGTTTTGACTCACTCAAACACAAATTTAAAAAGATTCTTATCTCAAACCATAATTTAAATGTACACAACCAAACACAAACTCAAGTTACAATTTCAACTCAACTTATAACTCAAACTCAATTCAAAATCTACACTCAAGTCACCTAACTTAAAAAGGGCAAAAGAACAACTCTCGGGGCCGTACCGGGGCCGCCACGGGGCCGAACCGGGACTGTCCTGGAGTTGTACTGAGACTGCCCCGGGGCTGTACCGGGACTGCCCAAGGCCGCCCCGGGCCCGTACCGGGGCTGCCCCGGGGCCGTACCGGGACCATATAGCATCATGTAATAAAAAAACAACTCATACAACAATTAGTGGTCTTATTGGGGCTTTTTTTATTTTTTGTTTTTTGAATATCTACTTTGGGGCCTAAACTTATGTAACCAATGTGAAAATTTGCTGCCAAGCCCTCGATGCGCCTCGAACTTTCTGGATTGCCCATCTTCATTTCAATTCTTTAGCCATGACCAATAATAATAATAATAATAATAATACCAATAACAATACCAATAACAATAACAATAATAATAACAATAACAAAATAATAATAACAATAACAATATATTAGATATCCACATGTTTGCCTTCTATGTCCCAACATTGTTCTATGGAGGCGCACTTTGGTAAAACCAGTGGAATTATTAGGTTTCCATGATCAAATTATGAAGCTTCACAAAATCATCTAAGGCCAGCTCTCCCGGTCTTGACTGCAAAATAAATAGGATAATCATAAATGAATGAACAAGAATTTGAAGGCTATAATCAAATAATTCATCAAGCACAATAAATAATATCAGATGATTTATACCGTCGGTGGAAGGCCAACGTTCCTGAGAGCATTCTCAATCTCAGAGGATGAGCAGATATGTTGTAGCAATCTTCGCAACATCTTTCGTTTCCCGTTAAAAACAGAGTTGATCTACATCAGTAAACAAGGAGAGCATGTTAGCAGAAAGAATGTTTAATTTATTCAACAAAAGATAGTACAAGTGCTTAAAGGTGGTCTTAGGTTGTGCTTGTGCATACATGTGTGTTGATGTAATGTTTAGGATTCAAAATACATAGCACGTACGTTGAATAAAGCTCTAGCATTTGAGTGAGCATAGGGATCCAATATCTTGAACAAGAAGCAGTAGTGAAAGTAAAATCTTAGGATTATTTCAGAAGTTGAACTACCATTGAGAAGAAGCTTTTGGTGGAGGAAACTGAGGGGTAGTCTTCAGCTCGCTTCAGCTTAAATTTTACAATAGCAGCATCAACCTATTGTAGCATAAGAAAAGGATCAGGTCAGTCTCAAATCATATAGAGAAGAGAACACCGGAAAAGGTGGAAGGTTGGTTAATTAGTATCTTTATATACGAGTAAAAAGGAATTAAAATCCAAAACTAACTCATCCAGTCCCTGACAGAAGAACCATTAAAAAATGTTTGTCTTGTTTTTGTTCTTTTGTTTTTGTTTTTGTTTTTGTTTTTGTTTTTGCTTTTGATTTTGCTTTTGCTTTTCTCTTCTTTTTTTTTTTTCAATGCAATGCTAAGGAAAATGGGGGAAAAATAAGCTTTATGCCTAAGATGAAGAGCATCCCCTATGGAATGCCAAAATTTGGCATTTTCGGTAAGAAAACTAATACTCAAATCCCATGCTATACTTATGTCAAATTTGACGTATATATACTTGCTGCCAAATTTAGCACCAAATATAGCAATCTCAAATTTTGGCATTTGGTTGCTTATCGGTTTATGTATTAACCGATTATCATTTTCAAATAATTTATGAATTAAAAATTACCTTTTACAAGTTCTAAAGATTATTTATGACTAAAAATAGATATGGCATTTAAAACAGCATTATGCATTGTCATTTTACACTTTTGTGCCAAATATGGCATTGATATGAGATACTCTAAAATCAGGTTGATTTAGGTCTAGATTTTGAAATACAAATTTCTGCTACCAAAAACTTAGCAACGGGTCTCCTTTCAAGTACACACATGAGATATCACATATCTAGCTATCGAAGTATAATGTATAGATACAATTATTTAACATATTTGTCGAGAGGTATTTTAGGCTATAAATCAATTAGGAAAATTAGTTTTAACAATTCTAGATTTTCAGGGATTGTGGTAGATATCCTTTCTTATTTTCTCTCTATGTAAACTCTATAAATACTTAGCCATGTAATTATTCAATATAGGAAATAAACAAATAATTCTTCATCCCTAGTTTGCGTCATGGTATCAGAGCCCTAGGGCGACTCTTTGGGATTTCACGACACCGCCAAGCAGCCTTCATTGCTGCCGGTCATCACAGCATCATTCTATCTTTTTTTTCCTTCTTTTCCTCTTCTTTCCTATCTTTGAAATTTGCTTGAGCAGCCTTCATTGCTGCTTTTCTTCCCCTTTATTCAATCATGTCCGATTCTGAACCCAAGACCACCAGCCCTTCCTTGACTAATGAGGATGTTTCTCCTGCCTAGAAAACCGGAGACTTGCAGAATATTAGAGCCTCTTATTGACTCAATGGGAGGAACTATCTCAAGTGGTCACAAGTCGTTCGCACGTACCTCAAAGGAAAGGGAAAAAACAGCCACCTGCTTGGGACTGGACCAGCAAAAACAGACCCCGGATTTGTGGCATGGGATGAGGAGGATTCAATGATTATGTCATGGCTGTGGGATTCAATGGAACCAGCCATTAGTGATACTTGTATGTTTCTGACTAGTGCGAAGGGGATATGGGATTACATTCAACGTACCTATTCAAAGGCACGTGATGCAGCCCAGGTGTATGAGATAAAGATTAAGACAAATGGAATGAAGCAAGGAGACAAGACTGTCACAGAGTATGCCAATTTTCTGCAGATCATGTGGCAGGAATTGGATCACTATCGAGTGTTCGAGATGAAATGCCCGGAGGATGCAGCAATTCTCAAGAAATATATTGAAGGTGACAGAGTGTATGACTTCTTGGCTGGATTGCATTCTAAATTTGATCAAGTTCGGTTACAAATACTCAGTAAGGAGGAGGTTCCTTCACTGGAAGAGACCATCTCAATTATTCATGGAGAGGAGAGCCGAAGGAATGTGATGCCAGAAAAACCACGTGGTATGGAAGGGTCTGCTCTGGTGACTAAATTGGAACATCATGAAAAGAATAAGGATGACCAGCCAAGGAATTTAGGAAGGGAGAACCAGAGAAGGGAAAATCGAGATACTTTATGGTGCACCTATTGCAAGAAGTCGAGGCATACCAAGGAAAATTGCTGGAAGTTGAATGGCAAACCTCCAAGCAGTGAGTGGGGAACACGTGGAAGGCAACAAAGGCCCCAAGCTCATCTCACAGAGCAATCAAAGGCTGAAGAAGGACCGGACAGCAAGGGATTCAAGGGAGATGAGATAGGGTTCAAAAGGGAAGAGATTAAAAAATTACAGAGTCTATTGAGTTCTCTTGAAAAACCATCGGAGCTAGTTCCTTAGTTCCCTCAGGTAAACCAATGATTTCTTATGGATTGCACGCTTCTGACAAGTTTTTTGATGATTCTTGGATATTAGATTCCGGAGCCACGGACCACATGACACATTCCTCACATTTTTTCCGTACATATACTCTTTGTCCGAGTAATAGGAAGATTATTGTTGCAAATGGAGAATTAGCTACAGTGGTAGGTTTAGGAGACGTTTATATTAATCCCTCCGTGGTCTTTAAAAATGTCTTGCATGTGCCGAAGTTATCAGCTAATCTTATTTCTATTCAAAAACTTACAACTGATCTTAAGTGTTGCGCAATATTTTTCTTGTCTCATTGTGTTCTTCAGGATCAGGCCTCAGAGAGGAAGATTGGACTTGCTAAGGAAAGAAATGGTCTCTATCACCTGGAAATTTCAAGGAAAACCGCCAGTAACTTGCATGTGTCTCTTCTCAGTTCTTCCAATAAAGATGCCATTTGGCTTCACCATTATCGTCTTGGTCACCCGTCCTTTAGAGTCCTACAAATTATGTTTCCACAATTGTTCATAGGATTTGATATTTCTGAGTTTCATTGCGATGTTTGTGAACTAGCAAAACATACTAATGTTTCTTTCCCTATCAGTAATAAAAGAAGTGTTTTTCCTTTTCAATTGATCCATAGTGATATTTGGGGTCCATCTACTATTCCTAATGTATCAGGGGCTCGTTGGTTTGTCTCATTAATTGATGATTGCACGTGTGTAACCTGGCCGTTTTTACTTAAACAAAAATCTGATGTCAGTAATATTATTCCCAGCTTTCATTCCATGATCCAAAACCAATTTGGGGTTAAAATAAAAACCTTTAGGTCAGACAATGCTAAGGATTATTTCAACCAAGTTTTATCACCCTATTTTCAAAAGGGAGGAATTATTCACACTTCTTCTTGTGTGGATACACCCCAACAAAATGGGATAGCTGAGAGGAAAAATGGGCACCTATTAAATGTCACTAGAGCCTTGTTGTTTCATGGAAACACGCCTAAATCCTACTGGGGGGAAGCCGTCCTAACAGCCACGCACATGATAAATAGACTACCCTCACGTGTACTTGACAACAAGAGTCCTATGGAAATTCTTAATGCCCACTACCCTCACTTTAGAACCTCAAATGGCCTTATACCTAG